TAATTTTTTTATTACAAAAATAGAAATTCTTAAAAAATAAGCCCGCATTATGGTAAAATTGGCCCAGGAACAATTTTAATTTAGTATGTGGCTATGAATTCATTAGTAAAATTATGAGTAATTCCAGCCTAATCTTTTTATCGTCGCTTTTAGCCAATCAAATTTGTTGCGGCAGCTATGGTTAATCATTTACATCCCTGCTTCGCCTCATTTTACATCCAATTAAATACAAGATTTTGCGAACACACATCATTAATTCACCATATAACTATATACTTAGTGATATTTGTATATTATTCTGCTCCTAGTATTTGTGATATTTGCATATCACTCCGCTCCTTTTATAAATATCGTCATCAATTGTGATGCTTGAGCAACATCACAATTGATTTAGATGCTTGAGAAGAGCCTTAGATACTTGAGAGCACCCTAAATTCACTTTGCATTTTAATCTTTATATCAGTTTTTGTCCAGAGTGGAGTGAAGGACTTACTGTTCAGACCTCTGTCACGGGTGCTTCTATAAAAATATATAGATATTTAAGTTACCTGGTGTATTTTGTAATATTCATAAAACATGAGGATTAAATTTATATTCGCCATGAGATTTATTTATACAGCCAGAAAGTTTATTTTTTTGTATATAACAATAAATAAATAATTAATTAATAAATATTTTTTAACGCGAAAAAATAATCAGTAAAAAGAGAATATAGAGAATAATAAATATATTTTTAACGTGATAAAAAGAGAATATAAAGAGAATACAATATAAGCTTTAATACCTAATGCTAAACTACTTCTTAATTAAAATACTGTTAACTATGGTCTATATTTAATTTTTTATTATCAAAATTAAACCAACTATACTATTCTAATTGGTTCTTTATTAATACATACAACACCGAAATATGGTGATCGATTCATTAATTAAACAATTATAATAACTTAGATTCTTTTAATATATTACATGACAAATCAGCATTTAAATATGATGCAGCCTTAATTTCTCATAAAATAATCAATAAGTTAATTTTTATTCATATCCGAATACAAAATCCTTAATGTTATTATGTATAAGAATATTTGGAAAATTGTTATTAAGAAAGGATGAAATTCAAATATTTAGACCTTTTTTTGTTTGTTACAATTAATTATAAAAATTCTAATAATCGAGACTATATTATTTAATGATTTTATTACATAATTGCGATATTTTGAATTATTAATTTATTAAACTATATTTTTTTTATAAGTCTCTTGTTTTGGTCCAAATCTAGTGAATTTATTTGTAAGTTTAACTCGAATTATGAAGAAAAAAAAAATGCATATAAATTAAATGATAAAAATAACTAACTCATAAAATAGTATCTTGAAATTCAAAGTAAAATTAATAATAGAAAATAGTTTAAAATCTAGGCTCCGGACTTCAACGATTCTCATTTCCTAGTATTACGTGAATTTAAGAATTTATAGAAACTAAAAATTCTTAACTATAAGCTAATGATGTTGAGCTTTAAAGAATCTTGGAAATTCCTAAATTTTAAATTTTCCTTTCAAAATCAAAAAACTATCTCTCATCTATATTGGTAACACCAAAAATCATACTGTTTTCTGCTAAAATTAATTTATTACGTTTTTGACATTTTACGTTAATTGGTGACACCATAGCATGACGTGATTTTTTGTGTAGATCAATTACGTTATGTTGGTACTTTAGTATATAAGATGAAATCAAATTTAATTTATTTGACAATCCTGTAAATATGTCGTTAACTCTTTTGAAGTCTATATGCATAAAGGTATTTACTCTGTGTTTCAAAGCTTATGAATGTTTCATATACAAAATATATTATAACACATAGTGCAAGAAAATAAAGTTTACAAACTTGCAAGGAAGTGTGGTGAAGGTTTGTAGGTTAAGTTAAATTTCATGTAGATATGTTATAAAACTTACTTGATACTTTTTATGTTAGTTCCTGAAAATCTTCCTACTATTCTTCAAAATTCTGAAATTGCTGCTCTTGTTTTAAAATATCTAAAAAGAGACGACGAAATGCCAGCACTTTTAATTGATTGGAATGACTCTGGATTTAATGATACTGCCACTCCAAATTTACGTAATGGCGTTGCAGGGCAAACCAAAGCAGCTATAGTTGCAGATTTGGTTGCAGGTGGTGCTATTGATTTTTAATATCATAACATTTTGTTCATATTTCAAAATCCTAACGCATTTGGGAATTGGGCCGAAAATTTTTAAACAAACATGTTTTGGTATAGAACTATTCCTTATATTTTAGATTCTTTAGCATTTGCTCAATTCTATTATTCTTTTTCAAAAAGGGCTAAAAATCAAGCTGGCGTTCCCAATGTCTATAATGTGGTTATAAGAATCAATAAAGTATCACCAAGTACGGGAATTGAATCCTTTACCCACATATTCCGCTAATGTTTGAAATTTTAATCAAACTTATCTTAAAGATTTTATTCTATGTAATTAGCAATTTGAGATTGGCAAGTGTAACAAGTACAATGTTAGTATTTTATTAAATGTTTTTTAGTTAAGGAAATAAATTTTGCTCGTACTGGGCATGTATTATTGCTCCTGTATATTAATATACAGGTTAGGATATTTGTATGTAGCCAAAAAGTTAAATATTTAAATTTCGTTTTATGAAGATCAATGTCTTTGTCACTTAAAAAAAAAGAAAAAAGAAAAACGTAAATATAACGTAATAGTCACCCGATTTGTCACATCTAAATTTTTATCATATGATTTTCGTAGATTACACAAATTGTCAAATTTACATTTTTAAAATTTTCTCCAAAACTTTAGTTAATGTATACAATGCTTCTTAAAACAAATTTATAGCCGAAGTTTCTACAAATAAAACAATATAAAAAATATAAAAAACAAACTCCTTCTTATAGAATAACACATCTCCGAATATGGATAATTATTTTGACTACTTTCGTTAAATCCTATTCAGGCTAGTGAAATATTAACTTGAAAGATAGTTTACTAGGTGCGCAAGGGTGAGAACTTTCTCCAAAATGCATCTTGGAAAGGCTGGTACCTTATAAACATTACAGTGAAAATTAAGAAAAACTGTTTTATGCTTTGTAGATCGTGTTAATTCAAGATCCTTTCTTTGTTTTTTGTCATTTTTTTTGTGCCATTTGCTATCTTTTTTATTTAGTTTTGTCTAAAATAAGTTATTTAAATTTATTTTATTTTATTTTACTTGTTTAATTAAGAAATTTAGATACGTGAAATACAAGTTTTATAATTTATTAGATTTATTTTTTTTGTAGGTTTGTTGAGCGGTGTGTTAAAACTATTATATTCATGTTGATTATACACTGTTTAAAATTATTCAAGCTTAATGCTGTGCTGGGAAAAGAGACGAAAAGAAAAGGGACAAAAGAGAAAAGTGACAAAAAAGAAAAGAGACGAAAGAGATAAGGGACGAAATTGATGAAGAAAATCTCTCTCAAAAAATAAATTATCTCATGAACTATTGTTCAGAATCATATGATTTTGGTACTATTTGATTCGTCTCACTGGGATAAATCAAATGGTACCAAAATCATATGATTCCGAACAGTAGTTCATGAGATAATTTATTTTTTGAAAGAGATTTTTTTCATCAATTTCGTCTTTTTTCCCAGCACCAAGCCCACTTATTAATTGATGCATTTAAAATATTATTTAAAATTTTGTAATTTTTAATAAAAAAAATAAATAAATTTACAATTTTTTTTTGTGGGTCACAATCATATTTCGAATTACAACTGTATCTTAGTTTTAATCTAATCTAATCTGCCGATTTTTAACTTAGTTTTAATCTAATCCAACCCAGAGGTTTTTAATATAATAAATTCTTTAAAATACAAAGCTAATATCGTCTATAATAAAGTCTTGTTTACCTATTCGAATTTAATAAATTTTTTTTTTTTAGTAATAGCTTTAGTTTTAACTTATTCGACTATTCAAGTTCGTTTAACCAATAGAGAGGATTTAAATTTGACTATTGTGTGGGCTACAGGTGTTTATCCTTTTGAAAGTGAAGATCATGAATTGGATTTGGTGTTGTTTGTTCCAATAAAAGATGATGAGAAAGATTCTAATACTCAGGCAATATTTGTAAAGGATGAGTATTATTGTATTGCTGGAAAAGTTGTGCCCAAGATTTTTAACAATAATTTTAAATTGAAGGTAATTTATTTAGAATTTTTCATATTAGTTAGTGAAAATTGTATTATTAAAATTTTTTTTTTTATTTAGATAACTGTTTTAACTTCTACTCATATTACTATTAGGAGAGATCTTGGTTCTAACAGGTGTCCTTTAAAAGTTTTATTGGTGGGTGTTGCTCAAGATATAATGAGAGAGTTTAACAAAGAAGATGCGATTGTTAATGTTTTGGTAAGAGATTATGCTGGGCAAAAGAAATATAATTTTACAGTTAAGATTGTATTTCTATACCAGAATAGTAGATTCAAGTATCTAAGAAGTTCTATATAGCCAAATGAGTCTGTTGTTTTCATTACAGAACAGTTGGAGGTTATTGATGGTAATTTGTATACAAATGCCATTGATATTTCTTAGGTTGATGTTCCTTTTGCATCTAAAAGAAAAGTTTCAGATTCTGTTAGTTCACAGATTACTTCTGGATGTTATAGTTTTTTTGATCAAAACTTTTAATCACTTATCAAAGTGTTTGTGAAGGTTTAAACAAGACTTCTGTTAATGAAAGTTTAGATTGCCTATTGTTGATTTAACTACTATTGATAGTAATTCTTTAAAGCATAAGAGAGTGGTAGATGGTTGTACTGAGTATGTTGTTTCTTCTATCAGTGGTTGTTGTTCATATAAGCATGTTAGGGTTGACGACGAAGCTGATGATTATGTTGAGTATGTTGATTCAGATTGTAGTGATAATAAATGTATTAGCAAAAGTATTAATAAGTGTGCAGAAAGGAGCAGTGAATGTAGTGGAAATGTTATTTTTGAAGATAAAGACAAATTTAGTTATGATAATAAGATGAATAAGGGTAAAGAAAAGAAGGTTCAGCCTACAGTGCATAATACAAGACATAGAACTAAGTTTTAGATATTTAATATTTATGTTTTTGAAGTTTATATACTTATGTTCATTAGATATTTTTTTACTATTCATTGTTTTTTGTTTGAATTTATGTTATCGATTTGCTGTATTCATTTTGATTTTTTATCTGAAAATTTGTTTTTGTTTGCTTATGATTATGATGTTATTTGATTTAAGTAAAAATGAATGGTACATGTTTTATATATTTATTTATATTTGTTGTATAATGGTTGTTTAGGTTGACGTCTAAATTGTGTTATTTGTCACATGAATTATTTATATGTGCGTTGTATGTATTTCTATAGTAAAGTTGATAAAGTTGATTTTGTTGTATATGTTAAATTTTTTTTAGATTTATCATATAAGTAATAGGTAAAATATGACAAAAGTCATAAAATATATTCATTGTATTGTGTTTGAATCAGTTCGTTTGTTTAAATGTTTCTTGTTCATGTGATTTTCAAGTCAGTAGTATAATTAATTAAATGGGGAATTTATTGATGCAATTAATTTATTAATGTCGGTTTAATTTTTATTTTAATAGGAGTATAAATATTTTTTTGTAATGTTTATTTTTTTATTTTAAAGGTAAAATATGTTGTTATTTTTTATTTATTCAATTGATATTTATAATATACTGTATGGTTTAGGGTGTTGATACGGAAAGGTTTGAATTAAATTATTAATATTTTTTTTTATATTGTATGTGAAAGTTAAATTTAGTCTAAATTGATATATAAGTATAAATTATTTTATTTTATGTGCATTAATTGAAATGTTATTGATTTATTTTATATATATATATATATATTTAATTATATATTTATATTATTTTTATAGTATTTGGATATTACGGAAGTTTGATTTTCTATAAGTTTGTATTACTTAGCATTAGGCCAAATAAGTAATTGTTCGGTTATTTTTGAGCATTTTTCAAAAATTTCAAGCTCATTTTTAAAATTAGAGTCAACTATTAAGTTATGTTTATATTGATTAAATGGTCGAAGTATTTTTACGTCTTCTAATTTTTGTACTCTTGATAATATAACATAGGTGCCTGCACCTATAATTCCACTATTTAAATCGATAATTACTTTTTTTAGTGTGGCACCTTGGCATTTGAATTCTGTAAGTGCGAAAGCTGAAGTAATTGTTAATTGCGTTCTTTAAAATTCTCTAGTTAAATTTAAACCATCTCTTGTTTTATGTGTATACTTGCAGTTTCACTTAATAGCATAAATTGGCACATGGTTTGGGAAAAGGTCTTTGTATAAGCCTGGTTTATAGTTTAAAATTTCAATGATTATGTATTTAGGTGGTTTATTGAGGATGATATTGGTCTCTTCATTGATGTTTATGTTTTCCATATTTGTTGTAGTATTGTCATATATTATTTGACGAAGAATACCTTGTGCACTGTTTACCATTCTGTCATTTGTATAAATATTGATGGTCAGAGCTATTTTCATGCCAATTGTTAATAGTAATATGCCATATAATGTATTTGATTTTGTATCTGATACACTTAAAAGTTTTTATTTCATGCTGCCATAGACAGGTCTGTTTTTGTATATATCTTCTGCACAACTATAATAAATTGGTTGATTATGGTTCCTAGCATATTTTATTGTACTTTCAAGGTTGAGTTGTATTCTTAAATCATTTCTTCTAACTAGAAATATTGCATTTTGCCATTCAGGTAAGCTTATATTATCTATTGTTATAATACATTTATATAGAGTTTCGTATTGCATTGTTGTTAATTGTCCCGAATGTAAATTATTTAATATAGTTGCGTATTCTAAATCATTAATTTGTCATATTTGTTTTTTTAGAATAATCGCATGTTTAATTGATTTCCATAGTTCTCTTCTATTGATTTTTTTTAACATTCGGGTACTAGATGATTGTGATTTAATTGTTTTATTAATATCGTGCGTTCGGTATAAAGGAGGGTCGAGTACCAGAGGAAGTTGCATAAAATCTCCTACAAAAAGTATATTTAGGCCGGCAAAAGGTACTGTATTGTCTTGAATACATTTTGCTTCTTTAACACATGCATCAAACTATTCTAATAGCTATTGTTTTATCATAGATATTTTATCTATGATAAGATATTCTATACTTGCCCAATGTTCTTGGAGCTTTTCTTTGGTTTGTCATATATGTATTCACGTTTCAAATCATAATAATCATCATCATTAAATTTAAAGCTGCAGAGCGAATGAAGAGTACAGCATTGGATATTTGATGTGGCGAAACCTGTCAGTGCACAGATCTCAAGACTTTGCCTTTGTCCAATTTGGCTAAAATATTTGCAAATTGCTTTGATTATTTTCAATTTTTCAGTGCCTCTGGCACTACCTAAATACATTAATAGCTGGGATGGTTTATTAGAGCTTTCAGGATAATTTCTATTACAGTGATTACAAATAAGCATAAAGACTTTCTTTTGTTCATCATTAAGTTCATCTGAAATTTCTTAAAGAAGTTTTTTTGATTTAAGATTAATTTTGATTAAGTATTTTTTGTGTTTCTTCTAGTAAGAGTATTCGTAGAAAGTTTAGGTATTTTATTTTTTTCAGAATTTAAATTATTATTCTTTTGTTCTATTTGTTTTCTTCGGCTATAGTTTCTTGCTATGTTTGAATTAGGTTAGCATTATTTTCGCAAGAAGATCGTATTGGGGTTTTGCCATCATTATAATCTAATCTATCAATTCTGCTTTGATATTCTTTACTGAGTCTACTTTTAAGATGTAAATGAATTAGTGCATCTTTGACAAAATTTTCATTTTGTAGTCCAGAACGTACTATTTCGTATGGGTTTATTGAAGTTATATCATTATCGTCAAAATTTTCATGGTCGATTAATATTTCAATATCATTAGCTGTATTATTATAGCCAGTTACTGATCTTTCTATTCTTCAGATTTTTTCAATTTCAGGATTTTTATGAGATAATTGCCATAATTGCCGATCCAGGAGTGTTTTTTTCTGTGCATCGATATAGAAGTTCAATGTTGTTTATTACAGATTGTAGTGTTTAAAGATAAGCCGGCTTATCACAGCTTGCTGCGGCTTGCTGCGGCTTATCACGTGATAACTTCGAATTTATCACCAAGCCATGTGATAATCTCGACTATATCGCGCGATTATTTCGAGATTATCACATGGCTTGGTGATAAATTCGACGTTATCACGTGATAAGCCAGCTTATCTTTGAACACTAGATGTTACGACTTTATAGGGTCTTGGACCAATTTAGCTTCGGTCATGAACGGTGATTAAGGTTAAAGGGTTTAAATCGATAAACTAACACACATAATTACAGATTATAGGGTTTCTCTTTATTAACATAAATCAATACATAGAATTATTACAATCGTTCTAACAACTATCCTTCCTTTCGCAGACTGAAGCTTCACCCTTATCTGTTATATATATCCTTAATTCGTATGGGGGTTTTAATCCCTCGTTTGGGGTTTCAATCCCTTTCAATCACCCATCTATACCACAAACTATACCAAAATAAGAAATTCATAAAATAACGATAATGATTAAAGGTGCAGACATATTGACGTAATAATGTTGTAACTTAATATGTCTGCAACTCTAATACCGTACGTAATAATGATAAAATAATATGAGTGAGCATGACACCGAATCGATAAGTTACCAAGTCGGAATCAATAAGCAACTGATTCGGTCGAACTCAGGAACTTATCGATTCGGTCATCGGCAATTTTTTCGGTTGTTCCAGAATTTATCTGTATCTAATTTTTGAAAAAGGGCAAATTTCAAAATAATGCCCGGCCCGCTATTACGCGCAAATACGGTAACTTTACAGTGGTTCCATTATTTTTTGGACATCCGAAAAATTTTTGACAGCCGAATCGATAAGTTACCGAGTCGGAATCAATAAGTTACTGATGTCGGTCGACATCAAAAACTTATCGATTCGGTCAAATGTCCACAAAATAATGAAAATTAGGTCAACTTTAGCTGTCGGGGAACGATTGATCAAACCGATACATTAAAGTTTATTATTAATAGCATAAATTAATAAATTTCCCATACACTTCTAAAAGCTTAATAATAAACAGCTCACTCTTTAATTAAACAAAATCTCTTCTTTTTAATAAAATAAAATTAGGCTACACAAGTCGTAAGTTACATTAGATCTCACCCGATAGTAGCACACAACTTTACGATAAGGCTATTTGAAGTTGAACCTTAATTTAATGTTATCCCTCCTTCAAATTAAACAAATAGAAGTGCAATTGGTCTAATGCCAACACTGTAACCGGGATTTTTCGGAAATTTCGGTATGTTATATGTTTATTTTTTTATTTTTGTTTCTCCTCTTCTATACTAAAAAAGTAACGTTAAACGAAATTTCGACCTAAAACGGCTTAACTATAAAAAGATGTAAATCATTCGGAATGAGAAATTCAAACTTCCGTAGTTTTTTATGAATTATTTATTTTGAAATGGACAACGATGCTTTTAACTTCGACTTAGACAAGTTTCGCGTTTCTGATGTAAATAGTGCATATTATATTAAGGAATTTATAACTAAACAAGAAGAACAAGAATTTTTGAATAAGGTTAGTTTTAATATAATGTTATTGATAAGGTAGATTTCAATGTCACTGACTTTAATCTGGATATTAACAGATTTATTCTGTGCCAAAGCCGAAATGGGTTGTTTTAAAGAATAGAAGGTTATTCTTGTTATTGATTATCTAACTTTTGGAATTTAATGTTTTAATAAACGGAATTTCGTTTCAGTATACACATTAATTTTGTTAATTCAACCAGGCTACAAAATTGGGGTAAATCAACGCTGACATTTTTATAAATGTCTTATTGATCTTTTGATAATTCTATCTTTTACAACGCAAACCTACGTAAAGGTGGCGTACCAACAGAGCGCGGTATGCTTTCCGAACCACTTCCATCGTGGTTAACAACGTGTACATTCCCAAAATTTTCAACTCTTGGCTTATTTAATGATTGCGAAAAATTCAAATTGCCAAATCATTGTTTGATCAATGAATATGAGAGCGGCCAAGGAATTATGGTATGTTCAAGCATCTTTATAATTCTTTATTGTTTCTTCCTTCTAACAATGTCATTTTCTCGATGATTAAGCCACACGAAGATGGTCCATTTTATTATCCAACAGTAGTAACAATTTCATTAAAATCGTATATTATTCTTGATTTTTATAAACATTTGAATTCAATGAATTGCATAATGACCAATGCAAATAATGGAGAGAGTAAGAACTACTATAATGTACCAGAGTTTTCACTGTTACTTGAACCTCGAAGGTACGTAGATGAATTTTTTTTTTTTTGTCAATTTTTTTATTTCTCTTACTAAGATAAAGACTATGTTACTCGCACAAAGTCTTTTAGTTCTGAAACACGACCTCTACAAAACCTATCTTCATGGAATTCAAGAAATCAGATTTGATAAATTGAACGAAAAAAATATATTGAATTACAATTTGACTGATATAGCAAATGATTTTGAAAATAATAATTGTATTGTCTTAAAAAGAGACACAAGAATCAGCTTAACTTTTAGAATAGTTGAAAAAGTTGTTAAAACAAAGCTTTTTAATTTAGTTAAAAAATAGTGCTTAACTAAAAACTGGTCAACTTTTTGAAATAAAATATTCACAAATTAAGATTCATGAATATTGGATCATTTGCTACTATACAAAGCATGTCGAACTTTATTTCTTTTACCGTATAACGCTCCATGGGTGTAATTTCGAATTTGGCCTAAACTAAGCTTAATTAGGGCCATTATTCAAATAACGCCTCTGGGCGTTATAGCTTCGCATAGCAAAAAAAAATATACAGTATACTATCTATTTCAAATATTATGTTACGTTTACATCATGGTGCGTGCTGGATTTTCATAATCGTTACTATTTGTCTAATAAGTTGATCTATTTATTATTGGTGCTCCTCTCTTACCGTACGAATTGTCATGTAATATACTTCTTTTTCCGTCATATCATCGATTATTCTTTCATCACCCTCTTCGGGTATAGATTGAATAAATTTCATTCTCTTCTTAAGTGGTTCTGGTAAATTTGTTTGATACGCAATATTTTTTCCAATTACCATAATTTGCGGCAAATAGTACCCCCTGGGATTAATCAGTATATTTCATAACATGATTGTAAAAGACCCGGGTATATCTAAAACATGTGTTCAAATATTTACGCGTTTACTTAAATGATAATTGGTTAACTTTACTGCACCCTTTACATAAACTCCCCATATAAACTACCCTCCAGCTGACAAAGTACCCACCGAGTACTAATCAAGATTTTGCCCCTCGGAATGTAAAAACCCGGGTCTGGGGTACTATTTGCCGCAAATTACGGTAACTTAAGATAAGCCCTTTCTTCATTAAGTACAACCTGTTTAATTATTGCCAGAGCAACACTGCAATAATTAATTGTAGATGATTTTTAATTCAAAAAAAAAAGCAATCGGTTAAGACAGGCATAGGTATTAGGGCATACATGATTAATAATTCTCCAATAACCTGGACTAGCTCTCAGAGCCCAGGCGTTGCACCGGGAGTGAGGTTTTAATTTTTCTTAGGCCCTGAGTATTGCTCTGGATTAACAAATTTTTAAAGCCAACTTCTGGTTCAGAGTAACCCAACTTTTGGCTCAAAGTAACCAATTCTGGTCTCTTTGAACCCAATCCGTGGTTCAAAGTGACATGAATCAGGTTTCTTTGAACAAACATCTGGTTCAAAGTGACTTGGACTGGGTTACTTTGATCCAACCTTGATTTAAAACCAACTTCTAGTTTAAAGTGACCCAAATCGAGTTATTTTAACCAACCTCAATTATACATGTTGGCAAAATCCCAAACTATTATAGTTTGGGTTTGGGCGCGCCCAAAAATCTTATTAATAATCTTTTAGTTTTTATACCCCCACATTTATTATCCATACCCCAACAAAACAAAAACGTTATTTCGGCAGCCGCCTGATAAAATTTGACAAAATTTTTTTTATTTTGATTCCATGAGTTTAGTCGATTCGAATAAAAAAACTTTATCGAATTTGGTCAGGTGGTTGTCGGGATATCTTTGCTCAAATTTAGAAAAAAACTCAAACCGCCTATCAAAATAATTCTTTAAAACTTTGAGCGAAGATATCTCGACAACCACCTAACCAAATTTGATGGAATCTTTTTTATCTGATTCGTCTAAACTCATATAATCAAAATAAAAAAAAGTTCATCGAATTTGATCAGTGGTTGTCAAGATATCTTCTCTCAAAGTTTTTAAAAAAACTCAACCCGCCTATCAAAATAAAATTAACAGCTGCCGCAACAAAATTGTCACGGCAGATCCTCGATTTTGATTGGCTAATGGCCGGGATCTTCAAAATTTTGGCCCGCATTACATAATTGTTTATTAATTTCCGGCCGGAATTAACTTTTTAATTCCGCATTATAAAATTGACCCTGGAACAATTTTTACTTAATAGGTGGTGATTTCATTAGTAAAATTCTAACTAATTTTTTAATCGTCGCTCTTAGCCAATCAAAATCGAGAATTTGGCATAACAATTTTGTTGCTAATTAAAATAAAAAAGCTGTGTTAAATTTTTTTAAAACTTTAAATGAACAACTATTTAATTAAATTTGATAAATTATTTTTTATTTGAATTCTAGAAAAATTAAAAATAAAAATAAAAAATATTCATTGAATTTGATCAGGTGGTTATTTAAATATCTTTGCTTAAAGTTTTAAAAAAAACTTTGATATAGCTTTTTATTTTGATAAATATTTTGAATTTTTTAAAACCTTAAGTAAAGATACTTTGACAATTACCTAATCAATTTCAATAAATTTTATTTATTTATTTTTTTAGTATTAAAATAATCTCTTTGGTCTAAAAAATGTTTTATTAAAGTTTAATTTTAGTTACAATAAGAGTATATCAAGCTACATATATACCTTTGATGCTTAATTTAAGTAGTTTGTCTATTAAAGGTTCTACACTATTTGCTATACTTATAGTCCAACTATAGTTATCCTCCTTTATAATCACTTAGCTTATTTTATACAAATATATAATTATAACTATAATGTGCTTATATGGAGATATTTTTTAATAAGATTATTAATAAATTAGTTCAAAATTTTGTATAATTATATAGATGTTGTAATTATATAGGAGGTAACTATAAAGAAGTACAACTATATAGGTTATTTATTTAAACTTTGACTATAATCTAATTCCAAGCTAATAAAAACTCTAACTCTAGATATTGTTTATTATCTACTTAATTAGATTTTGTACTCTATTTTTCATATTTAGTCTTGAGTAAATGCTTTATATACTAGCTTTGAGTATATTTTATACAGCTTGTTTTCTTTAAGTTTTCTTTTACAGGAGATTTTTGCTTTATAGTGCTCTGTTGGGCTAAATTATAGCCTTTGCATTTGATTATTTTAACTGAAGTTTTATGGGAGGCTACCAAGTATTTCCAATATTCTACTATAATAGTTTTTTTTCTTCTCTTTTTTAATTATTTTCTCTAGTACTGAGTTGTTTTTGGTCTTGAATAGCACCTATTCTTTTTCTCTTCTGAGCTTTTTGTCTCTTGTATTTTTTAATCTAACCTCATGTAAGCATTTTTTTTTATTATTATTATTATGCCAACTACCAATTAATGTTTACCTTTTATTAGAAGTTAACGATATTACATCTGTATTACAAATTTATATTTGGTACATCCATAAATCCTCCCTTATAAGGTATAGCTATTATTTCTCGTGCTGCTGCATAATATTACCAGACCACCCAGATTAGGCAGTGACCTACAATGTTCTATTAGACATCCCTCGAACAACAGTTACCTGCTATAGTAGTATCATGTCTAACAGAAGGTTAAGTAGGAACCCCTAATTCCTTCTATGTCTCACACATTTTCAGATTAGATATTCGGAGATATTATGTCTTTAAACCGAAGTTAGTACTTGAGCGTTACCCCTACCTATCCCTGCTCTTATTTGGTTCACAACAACCCCAATACTCACATTTGGACTGTCTCCTTATCTGGATTCTTTATTGGTTCCTTCCTTACTTCCAGCCGGCAACTCGGAAGGGTCAGTCTGCCCAGGCTTTAGGTGCCTGAAGGATGCCCTTCTCTTGGTTCATACTTTCAGAGCATATGTTCTTTTCCTCCGGTGCGACAACCCAGCAGTTCGGCTAATGTGTCCTCCGCCAGCAGACCTGGTCGCTTGGTTCTCTGATCTCAGGCCCTGGTTCGAATTCAGCCCTTCTGTAGTACCGTTGAAGATCACTGCTACTTCCAAATTCAGAACTTGCCAAATAGGTTTTTGGTTATGTCGGTTCCTCGGATTTATTGCACCAAAGCTCCCATTTTTAGATGGTGTAACTAAAGTTACAGATTAGATTCAACTGATAAGCATAGCTATTAACCGAAATACAAGCCTATTTTTCAAATATCGTTATTCATGGGATTTGAACTCTAGGCTTGCCACTTGGAGAGGATAACAACTAGATCACTACACTAAGTCGCCACACCTCTTTATGTAAGTATTTTATGCTCTGTGTTGTCTAATATCTGTTCTATTACTATAATGCCTATTTTTCCTTTATAGAGAAATTTTTTGTATACTTTTTCATCAAGAAGGTTTATAATTTCTGTTCCTGATTCTGTAAGCTTTAGGTCTTCTTCTTTTTTTTCTGATCTTATACTTAGATTTATATCTTTTGCTTTAATCAAGATTTTGTATATGAGATTTTGTTTAATCTTGACTTTTTTTAGTCTTGCTAGCTTACACACTATGTGCTTTTACAATCGATTTGTGCTTGTTGAATCCTGATCCATGTAGCTTTACTAATTTTATTATTTTTATTTATATGTTTTCTTAGTTTTATAATATAGTGGGATTTCTGGTTCTGCCAAATTGTTCTTAGCATTTGCAAAAAAAAATATGCATAAACCTCTATAAGTTTTCACATAAGAGTAAACTTATGAAAAACTTACAATTAGTTTAGAGTATTATATAAGAGTAATAATTACAAAAGTTATACAATTCTTTCCAACAATCACTCATACCAAATTTTTCCACTAAACAAAACCAAAAATTTTATTAGAGAAGGTAAAAGCACTATGCGGTAGTTCTTGTAAAGGTCAACCTTCTGTTCAAGAACTCCTCTACATATTCGACATGCAAACCAAAAGCATTGGTGTACAAGATAACTAGCAAAGATGTTACCCTTGTATACAAAATTTTGAGAATATTGGTGCTCTGATAGAAGTGAGGCTATATTGTCAATGAAGTTAAACATAGGCAATATAATAGAAGGGGAACAATGAATGAGTGTTTTTATTCCACTCTCTTGAAAATTTGAAGCTAAGTAACTCCTATCATACTTGTCTTCACTTTCACACCTTTCTTCCAAGATTTTTTGATAAAAAGTGGAGATTTGGCTTACCTCCTCTAAAAGATCAGCATTGTTTATATCTACCTAATTCAAACGAACTCAGTAGAATGCAACCATGTGTTTGTTTTGTTTATCAATATGGTGCTATGGTACGAGGAAGAGATCGTCACCCCATTTAGGAGATACCCGAGTTGAGTCAGTATCCAAAACGAGTTTCAAAGTCAAACCGAAGATTTTACAATTGAGATATAGTAATTAGTTACAATTATTATATAATTTTTATCTTTATATTTGGCACGGGCTATAATAGTATGTTATGGCTACTTTTTTTTTTTTTGCTTTTTTCATCTTTGTTTATTTATATTAGATTATTTTAGAAATTTTAGTTTGGTTTTTTTTATCGGCATGAGGTGTTTTTTTTCTAAAATGTTTATGTCTTTCATAAACATGGCTTTACATTTTACTTTTATATACAAATAAAGGTTCAATTGTGTTGTCAGCTTAGATGAAAGAAGTTTGAAAGAAGAGATGGTAATTATAATGGGTGGCAAGGTCCACTGTTGAGAGCCGGATTATATCCAATTGCAGGAGAGGTCTGGAAGGAGAGAAATCTTGCTATAGCAAGTCAAACATAGGTACCATTTGGAGTAACCGGGTTAGTTTTAATTTGTAATTT